CTCACTTCAGCAAATGACAGCTTTTATTCTTAGATGTAACTGAGGCTGCAGGTGGAATGTGCAGCAGCCTCAGACCTGCTACCCAACACACCTGCAATCCAGCACAGGGTTTGTGCTCGCTGGGCACAGCCAGCAGCCGCAACACTGCGAGCACACATCACAAGTCAAGAGAGAAGATGTTTTATGCACAAATCAGAATTGGAAAAATGTCATTCATTATCAAATATTTCAATGTATTGTTGCTCACAAAAGAGCTATTAAATGTGATATTATGTTCATTTGTATCAGCTCCTGTGCTTTTAATGAAAAATCTTATTAGCTACAAGAAGGTCAGAATTGAAATGTCTGTAAGTCTTCTACAAAAGCCGCTCATAAAATCACAGAAAGGTTTAGGTCAGAAGGGACCTTTAAAGGTCATCTGGTCCAGACCCCCTGCACTAAGCAGGAACATCTTCCAACTCTATCTAGTTGCTCAGAGCCCTGTCCAACCTGACCTTAAAAGTCTCCAGAGATGGGACATCCACCAAACCTCTGAGAAACCTGTCAGCACTTCACCACCCTGACCATCTGCATGCTTCCCTCAGCACTTGGGTAATCTCTTCCAGTTCTGAGAGACTCATACATAATGTTAGCATGTGCGTTAAGTGGATCTCTGAGCTATGCAAATAATCGATTTCTGAGTTTAAAAATTAAGTTCAAAATACATCAATTTGAAACAAGCATTTGGCCACTAAGCAACCATTAACAACTTGATTTTAAATGATATTATAATAGAAGATAGATATTTTATGTGACGTACTTTTCTGAAAATATGAAGAAGTTACTCATAGAGTTGTCATCTCTTAACTCCTAAGCAGAAAGATTAGGCTGGTGTCTATTTTTCTGTATAAAAGACAAAATTGTAATTCACTTTAATTTATATAATTTTCTAAAATAGTTCATGCACCCACTGCAATGTTAGTATGGCCATCCATCCTTTGATGATTTTACCTATAGACTCTTCCGTGGGAATTCATGTAAATAATGACTTATGGACTTGAAGAACTTAAAAAAAGTTGATTATACATGTTCTTCTTTCATGTCCAGTGAAGACCATGCTGAAAACCTTTAACTCACTGCATACAACCAAAAGCTTTTTTTCTTGAAGCTTCTTTTCCTAGAAGTAGAGTTTCTTTAAAAAACTGAATTGATACATTACCAATTATACACATATGCATATATTTTTCTACATGACTTACATAATTACTCAATGTAGTGAGCATAACTGAATAAATTAAAATTGTTTATTGATTCATTTTATCTATTTTTAGGTATTTTCCATATACTTCTAGTAGGAAAAAATCATGTATTGACAGGACTGAAAAGAGAGAAACTGAAAGACAGCAGATGTAGATTAGATATTAGCAAGGATTTCTTTACTGTGAGTATTGAGGCCCTCTCACAGGTTGCCTGGAGAAGCTGTGGATAGCCCATCCATGGAAGTATTCATGGTGAGGTTGGTTGTGGTCCTGAACAACCTGGTCTGGTTGAAGATGTCCCTGCCCATGGCAGGGGGTTGGAGGTAAATGGTCTTTAAGGTGTCTTCCAACCCAAACTATAGCATCAAAGAATGGTTTGATTCTGTGAAAAAGGACATGCAATTAAACACATTCAGAAATTACCTGAGATGCTCTTTTACTCAACATGACGTTACTGATACTGATAGTATTGTGACTTTTAGAAATTAATTGAAATTTTGCATGCATTAGTAATTTCATCCCAGTTTATTACACTGTACTTTGGGGAAGTTCCCAAAGGACATGAGCCTTTCTGGTTCTAAGCATCAGCCAATTAGAGATTGGCTTTGCTTAAAAAGAAACCTTCTAAAAGGCTTGCACCACTACCTGCAATTTGTCCTGCAACTGTTAAATAAAAGTTTCTTTTCTATCTTCTGTAACATCAGCTATTGCCTGTGGTCAGAGACAAGATATCAAATTAGCTGGATTGCTGATCTGATCTAGCATAAGAAATGCAGTACTGACTAGTCTAACTGAAGGTTCATCTAGCCCAAGCCATTGATTTCACCTGATTTCAGGTTGCAAATGTGCATCACATGCTTGCCATCCATCTGGTTCTGAGTCACTGACAAATTTGTGCATCCTTCAGTGAATCTGTGGTGAATCCTTGTGCTGCCCAGTTGCTGCTTCCCTTCAGTGTACAAGACACGCTGTGGGGCAGCCCTTGTCTGCTCAGACTTCTGTTATCCTTTCTGATGTCAGGAGCACTGAGAGAACTGTCCCAGCATCTTGGTTACCTGGATGCTCAGTTTTAGCATGTTTAGTTCACACGAGCCTGGAAGATGCAAACCTTTTCTTTAGCCTTTGGCCATCTTACATTGGCAGTGCCTGTTGCTGACACAACCCATCAAGGCTGTGTCTGAGTGCATGATCCTTTTGCTTGGTGAACACAACTTCGGGCTTATTTAGCATATTGCAGATTTCCGGCTAACTGTTCTCCTTAGGTGGAAAGATACTGCTTTTTCTAAACTGTGGAGTGAAGGAAAAACATTGGTTTTGTTTGGGATATTTTTGTTTTGTTATGTTTTTTGGGTTTTGTTTTGGTCCAAGGCACTCTTCTCATTCTTTTGTTATTTTTCAGATAAAGTTATAATTTCTCAGCTCTCTGACTCTGGCTTTTGAATATGACATCTCCATGTGGAAAGAAATTACACTAGTTCTATAAAGGAACAAAGCAAACTGTATTTTCTATGAATATTAAAGATGCTAAATGAAATCTGGCAAACTACTGTAAAATTGATAAAGAATGTAATTAATCACAGCCACTGAGGCCTAGGTTTGATGCCCAGCATTAGGAGAAGCATTTGAGGTACCAGAATATGTTTTGTAAAGTCCCATGGCCATTACAGCCTTGATGCCATTAGAATCGCCTATTTTCTGCAGAATCCTACAAGTCACTTTTTCAAAATAGGATAGAAGCATAGCAATAAGGCAGTCTGCAACATGCTTAGGGTAACCCTAACCTGAGAAGATGAAATACTGCCCTGAAGAAGCCAGTGAAAGTTTTGTTATTGATTCCAGAGCAGCCAGGGATTTCCCCAGGTCAGCTAGAGCAAATATGCCTAAAGAAAGGGCCCATAATTTAATCGCCAAAGACTAAATTGCAGCCCTGAAATCCCCTGCTTAGGCACTACCTATCACTGAAAATGAGTGATCTCTGCAAGGGGTTTGTTAAATGCTTACACTGCCTGAAATTAGGCTTTTGAGCATACCTGAATCTGCCCTTGCCAATCTTGAGCATCCCAGCACATACCATACAGGCTGATGACCCCAGTGCACCAGGTTTGGCAGCATGGGCACACTTGGCACTGAGCTGCTGGAGTGACATCTAGAGCCTACACAGCTTATGCCAGCAGGTTTGGAAAAGAAAACGTTGCCACAGTTCTGTTGTGGACTAACTGCTAAAAGTGTCTTGATTTGATTTCCCTCTGAGAGCACATCCCACCTTACAGAGGAGAACACAAACCCCTACTTGACAAGCAGATCCCCTTCACAGCTAAAAGCAGCAGCATCATTCCTGCTGCAGAGCAGGCACAGACAGGACTCCTATACACCCTACCCATGTCATCTTCTTTTTGGGGAAGGCCTTTGGTCTAGTTTTATGAAGTGAACAAAGCAAATGACAGTTCTTAGGAAATATTGTTATCTGTCAGGAACTTCAATGTTTGGCAAGAGTCATAAATGACAAAACTTCTTGACAATAACTGGTGTGCACTGAAGGTGCTGCATAGAAAAACTGACATGGACCCACTGCTCATCATCTAATCATGGTGTTGTCAGTAGGTTCAGCTATAGAGTATGTGAATCCCTGTGTACCCCACATGTTCCATACATATGTATTTTAGTTCAAAAATCTCCAGGGAGAAAGATGGGAGCCCTTACACACACGTGTGTCAGGGGAGGGTTTCTGACATTGCACACTGGGCAGACAGTGGCACCTCCTTCCAGGTGAAGCTTAATTCAAGCATGTCGAATGTGTATTTTCACTGAGCCTGCTCATTTTTGGTGGCTCCTGCTCAGCATGTTGGCTCTTTTAGATCCCATGCTGATGCCCTAATGCTGTGTTTGGGCCTCAGCACCTCAGGCAGGGTTGTAGATTTGGTCTGGGCAGCCCAGCAAACTCAAACATCAGATGTTGGTACACCTCCCCTTAGTCACTGAAACCTTGTGAGATCTGGCCCTCAGAGGCTGTAGAATTCAGAGTGTTTACACCCACAAAAGTTTATTATTTTTGTGTTTCTTTTTTTTCAATTGACAAAATAGATCAAAGTAATTTTAAATAATATAGAAGGCAAAAGCACTAGAAAAGCAAACCACTAAGTTCCTAAACAATGCAAACTGAAATACCACACATACTGCTTAGGGTAGCAGGCCCATTGTTACAGCTGTCACAGGCAAGCTCAAGCTGGAGGCTTCAGTGAAGCTAAAAAGTGATGTTTCTGTATTGATGAACTGTTATTGCCAATATTTATTAGCTCAGGGTATGAAGATGGGTTTGGAGGCCTGTAAGTTTACTGCAAGTCAAAGGTGGTTGCTTTCTGGAAAACTCTGGAAAGCTAGATTCTGGTTCCACTTTTATGTATTTGGTTACAATAAAGGGGTTGTATTCAAAAAATTCTATTCCTAATTTTAAAGAGTGTAATTTACTCATATCACTATTTCAGGAACGATCTTAGACATCTTATTACAAATGCTGCTAAGTCTTCCACACCTCATCCATTGAGTCAGTGTACTGGGATAGGGTTTCTAGCATCTCCAATTTATCAGGATAGGAGTGACAGTTTTAGTGATTTACCAAGGTAATAAAATGAAATTATACTAGCAATTATTTGTGGACCCAGTTTGCTCTCCTAGTTGCCTGCAGCTTGCTCTTCTCAGTTCTTTCTGCACAGTCCAAGAGCAAGTCTGAATAGGTTCTCAGCTTTCAGTTGATGGTCTATCAAAATTAGTATTCAGAAGTTGCAGCTTATAGCAAGCACATTTATAGTCATATGAGAAGTGTGTGGCTTTATGGGAGCTCTCTATTTGGAATTGTGTCTGTTTTCAAAAAGACATGTACATAGCACAAAAGATGAAAATGAAAGAACTCTGCTGTTTCCTTCTTGCTAACCTAGGTTCACCTGTGTGAGATGAGTTTAACTCTTTTGTGTTAAGAATGCTGACTATCATATGTCATAAAAGGACAGGAAACTACACTCTGAAAGAATAACTCGAACCTTTACACTTCATGCTTTGGGCTCTCTTTTCAGTGATTTGAGAACTTTGATTTGTAAGGGGAAAAAACGCTATAATTGCCAGTAGCTTTCTGACCTATCTGACTTTGTCCTAAATGGGCTTGAAGCTCTACGAGGAAGGTGCTAAACATTCTAAGCAGCTTTTTGTGGGTTAAAATTTTGACCATAGGCTGGTTAATTTTCGCCTTCATCCACGGAGAAAAAATATTCAATCCTTGGATCTGTGAGGCGTCCAATTCTGTAGAGAAGAAAGCGTTACTTCCCCTTTAAGCCTGGCGCCGTTCGTGTGTGTGAGTGTGCGGACTGTGTGTGTGTGTGTCTCCTCCTCTTTGAGTGACACAGCACTTAGATATGCCTATCAGTAACTTAAACCCCACAAACTCCACCTTCTAAGGAAGCTGTGGGTTGATGGAAATGTAGTGAGCAGATCGAGACAGACAGTGAATCATTAGCAAACTGCAACGCCAGGATGAACTTGTCTGCAACCTAAAAGGAGAAAAGAGGCTGCGAGTCCTCTGCGGCGCTGGGCTTGCTCAATACAGCCAAAGTGGATCTAAAAGCCGGTTGATCCTCAGTCCAAGATGCTGCTGGTTTCCCAGCGGATAGAAGCACCACGGATGGAGCCACATATTCCAGTAAGTAGCATTTTAAATCGATATGAACTGGGAAAGGAGGAGTTGGTATAAAAGGACTTAAACACCCTCGGAACAGTTGCTCACCGGGCTCGGCACGGTCGCAGCCAGGCTGGAAAGTTTGCAGGGGCGGTTCAAGAAATTGCCCACCTTGGGCTCTCTCTGCCCACGGGTTCCGTGTGCCAGGGGCCGCCCGAGGGAAGGGGACAGAAACTTGAAGGGGGAATTTCGCCCTCTATTCTGATCAGAGCTGAAGTCGGACCACGGAGAGGAGGGCAGGAGGGACGGGGTCCGTAGGCTCTAAAATGGTGGTGAAGAAGGTGCTTTGCGGTGCGGTCCCGGCGAGGCAGCAAGTGCGTGGCAGCGGCGGACGCCCCGTGGGTTTCCGTGTCATTGGTCGGCTGTGGGAAGAGGCGGTGGATGCTGTCAGGGACGAGCGGGAGCGGGGACCCGCCGGTGTGCCCGGCGCCGCCAGCCGCGGGTTCTCGTGTCAGTGCGGCCGGGCCGGCTCAGCCATCGTCCGGGGATTTCCAGCTAAACTTGGATCAGATAGGCAGGGGAGAATAAACCCGTCAAGCGTGGAGGGGCTAGCGCTGGTCCCTCTAGTATAATATTTTTAATAATTCTTGGTATTTGTGTTGGCAGTCGTGTGCCTGGTTATTTTGGGAACCTGAAGCGCACGTTCGATAGGCAGGATTGTGAACAAAAGGCTCGTGCGAGCCCCGAAGGAGCCCTGGGTTATTCCTGACGGAAGCGTGGAGCGCGGCGCTGAGCCCTGAGCTGCGGGAGCGCGTGTGCGGGAACAGCCCCGAGTGCGGGCGCTGCTGCCGGCGCGGCGGATTCGTCGCTCGCTGCTGGACCGTCCGTGTGTTCGGAACAGAACGCGTGAACAAAACGCGTGCTGACTCACGATTTAAATGTTTTGGTTTCTTATGCTGTGTTAAGATCGGGGTTCAGAGCAATGGTAGGGTAAACACGGCGCTCGCTGGCTCGGTCCCACGTACCCCCCCGCAAGGCAGGGGCTGCCCCTCTCCCCCGTCAGTAGCCGGTCCCTCCTCCGCCGCCTCTCCCGGCCTGTTGCTCGGCCCGGAGGAGAGCCGGGGCCGGGGGCACCGCGGCTTTTGTTCGTCTTTGGCTGGAGGGGGGTTGTCACCAGGGTGACTCGGAGGGACCCCGGGGAGAACGGCCGTTTCTGGGAAGAAAACGGGCTTTGATTTCCTTTCACACTGCCCCTCCTCCGGCCTCCCCCCGGAACAATAAATTAAAAGGCCGCTTTTGTTTTCCACAGTGCTCCCAGCGGGGGAGGGGGGGGGGGGGGTGGGAGGTGGCGGAGCCCGGGGACGGGGAGCGGGGGCCAAGGAGCGAGGCGGGAGGCGCCGCGGAGCCGCGGCCTGGTGCGATCGGGAGGGCAGGTCCCTGGTGCGGCGTGCGGGCGACGCGCGGCCGTCTCGCCTCGTCCCGTCGGAAGCCGATAAACCCTGCGAGCACCGGCCGCTTGCACAGAGCCTCCTGGAACAGCCTTCCTCCGCCTCCTCCTCGGGCCGCGGAGGGCACCCCGCGGTCCCTCCCCCGCTCCGTCAGTGGGGGCTTAACTGCGTCTGGCCCCTTCCGCGGGCCGGGGGCGGAGGCGCCGGGCTCCCCCCTCCCACCACCGCCGTGCGGCCGCCCCGGTTGGAGCCGAGGGCGGGCTGTGGGGAGCTCCGGGAGGGCGGAACTCTCCCCAGGTTATATAACGCGAGTTTTCCCCCTACTTAGCCCCGTAATCCCCGGGTAATGCCTAATGCTGGTGTCCCGGGGGGGGGGGCTGTGGGGTAGGGGGTCGCTGCTGCTCCTGGAGCTCCCCTTCTAGGCCGAGCTGTTGGGGAAATAAAGCTGCTGATGTGCAGCATGGACCATATGGTGCCTCCGGGAGGCAGGGAACCAGAATGGCCTTGAACCTGCCGGTTCTGGCAGCTGGGTGCTGCCTCCCGCTAGCCCGGGCTCCCCTGGCGCACCCCCATCCCCGGGTCAGCGGGGCCCCGCAACCCCCAAAACGGGCTACCCGGGACGTGCCCTCCTATTCGCGGGGAGGAGCTGCGTGGCAGAACAGCTGCGGCCGAAGGCAGAGACAGTGTCCGAGGGGGAGCCCTCACCCCGGGGAGAGGAGGGAAGCCCCCGGGCATGGAGGAGGGCTCTTCCCTGCCGCGGCGCTCGCCAAGAGCAGTTTGAGTAAGTTATACGCGAGCACCTAAAAAAGCAGCATTCTAGTGCTGGCACTGCCCATTTTCAGTCCTCTCTCCCTGCCATATGTTTAGAAGGGAGAAAAAAAAATGCACTTTGGGAAGGATGCTCTCAGCTGAAGGAGGAGGTGGGCTGGGGGGACGAGGTACAAGGAAATTCCGTGTTAGGAAAGCATTAGCAAGGGATGACATCTAATGTTTTCCTGCCACTGACGTTGACAGTGACACACATGTGTGGGTTGATATTGGAACGTCACAGAGTTTTTAAACTCAACCAGGAAATAGTCTGTTGCTCAGGGATAAAAAACAAATAGTCTGTACTGTAAGGCAGGTAACATGCAGTTAACAGCCCTCGAGTGAGTGAAAAGCTGTTCAATGCTCACAAATGAGCAGCTCAAATTTAATTCAGCTTTTTATTTTCAGAGGGTTTTTTTTCTCTTTTTTACATGTGGGTTTTCAACTCTGTTTTTATTCCTTTTAAGTAATACTTCAAAATCAGTAAAGCACATATTGACAGGGCTTTGCTTTTGGTCCCTTGTAACTAAGTATTTTGAACTGTAGAGTCTTGGATTTTTTTTTAAGCTAAGGTGGTTATTGGAGGGTTTGGAGGGAGATTAGTAATTAAAGGAGGCGATTATATTTTTAATATTCTTTCGTATTACTTCCTCTTAACACAGGTAGGAGTGTTTAATAAATACAATGGTTTTGGTTTTGTATTTTACTGACAGTTTGTTACAGTGTGGTAGCATTCGGAGATTTAAAATGGGATTAGGGAGCTATTGTGCTGGATGGTTTCTGAATATGGAGGAAGATTTACTGGAAGAGTTTATGATCCAGGTGACAGGCTGACACACTTGCCCTGACTTAAGTGGTCACTAACCTGCCTGGGTGTGACTGTAGGGCAAGAATTGACCTAATAATGGGCTTCATGAGAAAGACGAAAGTTAGGGAGGCAGAAGGAAACACAAGGACAAGAATAACAGTAAGTAAAATCCCTGAGTTGTCCTGTAGGCTAAGTACAGTGCAACTCATTGGTTCCCAGTAATTTAATCAATACATCTTCTATGTTACTTGCTACTCTGATAAAAGTCACCCTAAAATAACTTTTATGAGTACATAGCCTTGGGAAAGTGAAGTAGATCTTGTAGAAGCTGTGACAAATGAGTTTACCCAAACCGGGGGATGGAATAGTATGAGGTTGAGCTCCTGAAATAGGGAGAGGGACAAAATCCCCAGGTTTTCATTGTTCCCTGGTGCTGGCTGTTTCAGGTTTTTTCAGCATTTAGGCAAAGGTTAATAATAAATTATAATTCATTAGCAATTGGGATGGTCTCAAATAAAAATAGCTTAATCAGTTTAAATGGTGCTGGCACCTCTCCAAGGAGTCCTCTTTATATCTGACACATTTGCTGCAAATTTCTTTGAGAAACACTTAGTATTGTAGAGTGCTGTATCATCTTCTGTGGGAAGAGCAGTGATTAACTCACTATAAAGGCTTTCTACCTGATGTTCCAGTTTGACTTGCAATGTTTAAAAAAAAAACAAACCCAACATTTTGAACTGAAGGAAGCAGAAGACACACTAAGGCTTTGTGTTGAACTGTTTTATATCAATATTGATTTTTTTAAGAGGGTTTGTGTTCTAAAGAGGGAGCTTTTATCCCCCTGAGCTCTTTGGCAATTATCTTCCTGCCATAAATGTTGATACGCACATAATGGATGTAACTAAAAAAATCTCCTTATCCCAGCAGAAAAGGCTGACTGTTTGTTGGAGCAGAGAGAATGCTGAGAGTGTGAATAGACAAACCCATATGTCGCTGGTGAGAGAGATAAATGATGGACGAACAGGAGTTGGTTACTATGGATCAGCACAATAAACCAATTCCCATCATACACCTCTCTTAATAATATACCAGTCTCATTGCCATTGATGGGTAACCTAGGTAGCACCAGTCAACTGTAAGTTTTTCAACTGTTCTTTTATACATCTCAAAGAACAGAAGGGACATTTCTAATTTTTTCAGATGTTCAGTGCTAAAATTATGCAGAACTTCCTTCCTTGCCAGTAATTTTGAAGGGGAACTTTAGATCACGGCTGTAAAACACCAAATGTGCATGATACCACGGTTTGCTTGTAGTAAGTTTTGTGTTGTGCACCATAAAATGGGTACCCTTGAAAAGGCAATTGCTGAAAAATGCGTGGTGAAATCGGTTGGGTGTATAGTACTGCTTTCATTAGTTGTTTCAGGACTGGGCTGGCTTTTGGAAGAGACTGGAATATTGTTTTAAATGAAAATAGAAATAGAAAAATGCTGTTTAATTTTTAAAAGCAGCCCTATAGAAGAGGCAGTGATCAGTACCACAATCACAGTACCACAACCACAGTTCTAGCTTTCTGCAACCCATTTCAGGACTGCTAGTAGCTGAAGGGAAACTTTGCAAAACAGTCTGTGCTTGTATCACTGTCTCCTTCCCTTGTTCTGTATTATCACTGCTAGTGCTTTGCACAGAAAATTGAAGTATATGTAATTTAGAGGTTTTACTTTACGTCCTTGTCTTCTAGTAGATATTTTTATCACAGTTGCTATAGGCTAGGCTGTCAGCTCAGTTCACAATGAAAGTATATCTCAGAGTGACAGCACAAGCAGGGCTTGTGGCTCTTGGGATGTGACTCCATGGTTTTAGAAGTCACCAGTTACATTACCAGAGAGCAATGCAGTCAGAGTAGGCTAAGTTGCAAATGCAAATGAGTTGGAAGGAGTTCTTACTCCTCTTAAGAGCCCTT